CCGCTCAATTTGGGAGGAATTGGAATGGCTGGATAGCACTTCCTGTCGTATCATATTTATGTCGATCCCCAGCCACATAGGAATAATGGGGAATGAAAAAGCCGACGCCGCAGCGAAAGCTGCGGCGTGTGAGAGAAACCCAATACCAATTTATGTACCCGCTCGAGATCTGAAGTCAGTCATTTCCAAATACGTCCGCAATGCGTGGCAGCACATGTTCGACCAACACCTCCACGCTTTCAGGGAAATCCAGCCCCAACTGGGTGATTGGGAATCCTCCCATCGCCGAAGCCGCTTCCAGGAAGTCGCCCTTTGTAGGCTTCGGTTGGGTCATACATACGCCACACACGCGTTTTACTTGACGCGTAGGGATGTGCCACGGTGTGATAGATGCGGGGACCGGTTGTCTGTTGAACATGTGCTCGTCTCATGTCGGCGCCTTGAGACGGAGAGGCGACGATTTTTTCCTCCAACGCCCCTTCATCGGTTACTCGGTCGAGACCCATGTGGTGAACTTGGAGATATACTCGCATTTTTAGCACACATTGACTGACGTTATTTTCACTCACCCCTCAGTGTAAGTGCGCCAGTGATGCTACCTGTTATCAGTTGACAACATACTTATCGCGTCGTCGCAGAGGTAGATAACCGTCATCGAGTGGGCGCAAAATGGCCCTGATGCCGACGCGCCCTTAAAACCCAAATCACCACCACCACTCTCCAGGGGCTATGCTGCGTCGGCCTCCTGTCTAATGTTAGACGGTGGCCAACGGGGGACGAAAACGACAACGTTTCTGAAGAAAACACCTCTGAGCGATTTAGGATGTGAGTTGGACCTCCTGAAAGGTGTTCCGAGAGTACGCTTTTCATTTGTGCAATTTTTGGGGTTTTATATAAACGGATTAGCATTCATAGCAACGCGGACTGTTGTAAGAATCTGACAGTAGAACTAGACAAGAAAAGCTAGTACATCTATTTTCGTGTTGCTGTCGCTGTTTTTATTTTCAGGAGGTAGGTTCAAAAAAATTTCAAGTTGAATTGAGCCGTTATCCACTCTCTCAACGGTGGACGCTGTTTTTGAAGACGTTGGGAGCATTTTTTCACGATGACTGTTCTCGGGCGCCAGGCGCCCATCAACCGGTGTTAGCTGCAGCGGCCAACGCCGCTCGGTCCCATGGAAACTGCAACCTCGGCCGAACAAACTGGTTTTTGCAATTTGTTTCACATGATGAACCCGAACAAAAATGGACGCCTCGTTTGTGTTGGCCCTTTTCATATTTGACTCATTGTGATTCGTCCCGTTTAACACCAGGGAAACCCTTTTTCTTATACGGGCAAGGGATCAGTGGTTAGAACAATAGGGGGCACATTGTGTTTCCCGGTCAGGGGCTTCAGGGTCATTCGGTTACAGCGTCAGCCCATCACATTCCCACCCATCACACCAAAATGACAGCCTGTGGGCTGTCATTTTGGTGACACAGCGGCGGGATCTCCTGGTCGATACGGAAACCCTTAGAGGGATGAATCATACATTGGTCACTTCCCTGACGCCCAAAGTCCTCCGATCTGGCCATCTGTTCCCGAATAGATGCAGGACCCTTCAGTGACGCAAAAGATCCTTTATTGTCACAATTGTCCAATAATTGGTATAGAGACTACAGTTCGGCATAACGCGCCCCTGGCCCCTGAGCCCCTGGAAAGGGATGGAGAGCCCTTCATTCGGTACCGGGGCCCTGCCTGACAAAGGGCTTCCATTATCGCGTTGTGGACTCACATCGTTAACTCCTATCTCCGTTTTCATTTTCAGAGGGCCTCGGAGAACGCAACAGGCCCCTGGCTTTCGGGGTCCCGTCCCTTTCTCTGTCCAACAGATGTTGCCCTGGCCGACTCGGGGCCACTTGCGAACATTAGGCCCTCTTCTAGGCACTGTGGGCCACTGACCAACAAAGAAGCCTTCATTGCTTTAAAGGTCCCGACTAATGCAACTAGCAGGCTCCCACTTTGTCCTTGCTTAGGAAAAGGACGCTCAAGGCTCAGACCGACACGGAGCCGACTGTTCGGCGCCGGTGGTCTTTGGTCGAAATAGAGACCCGCATTACCACAGGATGTCCCCAATCGTTGCAACAGGTCCTCTAACTGACATTTGATTGTCCGGCCCTGCCTTCGTACACTCCAAATGGGCCCTTGATCATTGGTCCCGAGGGACCCTTCGGCTCCTCTGGGGGCCCCTCGAACACTGTCCGAGGCCTACTCTGGGCTCTTTGTCAATAACGGACCCTTGTTAGGCACTACGGTCCCCAGACGACACAACGGCCACTTATTGACTTAAGGGCCCCAACCAAGATAAATTGCGGATCCCGGCCCTGTATTTGCTTGGGAAATGAGCCCTAAATCCCAGACCTGACCCTGGAGCATAGCCTGGTGACAAATTTGTCGCGTGTCACGGTCGCTAAGCTTCTACAACGGTAGTGAGTTTCGCGGAAGCCGAGCTGGAAACAATTGACGCCAAGTACACTAAAATACTATATAATATATATATATATATATAAATATATATATATATATAGATATATATAATATTTAATATACATTATAATATATTATATAATATACATAATATATTATATAATATGCATAATGCATAATCTAATAAAACCTCTCGGATCTAGCCCAATTTTCTCTCAGTGACGTTACGGAGTCGGAGTGCCTCTCAAACATATTATAAAAATACACACCTGGTCTATTAAGCTTGCTCGCTCTGTCTTGGCGAAATGTGTTGTTGGGCATCAAATTTTGTCTGGCGTCGATCGTCGAAACCAGGGTCCGGCAAATGACGTAGAGTTGATGTTATATGACTTCAGACGTTGTTGGACGTATACAGCTTCGGGAGCAGTGCTAGTTGACTTGCGCGACTACTAATGTCTGCCATGGAAATTCCCGCTGATTGCCGCAAGACGGGGTGCAGGCGCATCGCTCTCATTCGGCATGATGTTCGACACGGCTGGTGTTGGTGGTCGTGGTCGAACGATTACCGCCATTGGTTTGATAAGCTGGTGTCGATCGTCACGTTTTTGCAACTGCTTCATCGAATATTCCTGTTGAAGTGGAGGTCCACACATTTCAAGTTTTGTTTATATTTTCTGGTAAGACACCGGAGAAAAAACAACGCAACTTGCCGCGGTCTGTATAAATTCAACATCGCTGAAGAATGCCAAAATACTCCTACAATAGTACAAAGCTAGACTACAGTCAACCACAGATATCAGTCGTGTAGTTAAAAGCATGCAGCATACAGAAGAGAAAAAGAAGAAAAAACTCGATTTAACACTGAACGACCGCGGACCTTTAAAATGTGACTGACTCAGTCGGGTACATTAAACTGGACATGATATCGCAGCTTTTATTTTCTTTGGTTCTTTTGCCTGTGAAACAATAAGAAGAATCGTTCTTTAAATGTTACATAGTTGCAAGCTTCTATCTGTATTGACCTTCATGAACTTGGCCTCCACAATGCTGGGCGGCCAGGCTCGCAGTTGGGGGCGGGGGAGCAGATTAAGCATCGGGGGGGGGGGGGGGGCGAGGGGGTAGCAGTCCACCCAAATTAATACCAATCGACACCCGTGGTCATAGCAACGACGGCCTCGACGTCCGGCGTTGCAGTCTCCATAGGCCGGGCGGTGTCGGCCCGTGGCTGTAACACTAAGCAATGACCAATAAGCAAACGAAAAAGATGACGCATTTTGAGGAAGATGGCTGGTGAGCTAGGCAAATCGGCATGCATGTTAAATGTGGTGAAAAAGTAAGCTAAACACAACCTTAATCTGAAAAGCGGCCCCCACCTTGAAAAAGGGGGATGGCCCCCTGCCCCCTCCCCATTTCCTATACCGATGCTTAAACGACCTAACCATGCGAAACCCACCAGGCAGATATTGAGCCCCTAACAGTGATAAAAAGTGAAACAGCGATAAACACAAGAGTGATAAGAAAAATGACTTATGAAACCTCTTTAATGAGCTTTTTTGTGAGAAACAAGCGGTACTTTTCACTTGAGCAAAACGACACCGAAGGACCTCAAACAAAAGGAACTCTGAGAACCGCTCGGAGAGCGAGGATTAATAGCGTGCCGCATCGCTGACGTGAGTTAGCTATGATGTGCACAGGAGGCCATATAACTGAACTGATAGCAAAACAAAAACAGTTTGTGCCCTACATTTTCCCTGAGCTGCTGTTCCCCCCCCCCCCCAAACCTTCGATCAGCTCCGTGAACCGAAGTGTCAGAAAGGGAACACTCAATGAAGCACTTCGCTTCGTGAAGTATCATGCGTGCATTTTTAATTATCTGAAGGAACATGCACATCGAATTTATCATAGTTTTTTCGCATTCATGTAAAAAGAACCCAGAAGAACGGAACTGATTTATCCTTTTCCAATCGAGAGAAATACATTATTTAGGTTGAAGACGTTTTTTGGACGGTTCCCCAGTATAAAGCACCCAAATTTGCACTGATATCGGCTTCAATCGCGGCGTTCCCCTCAAGCACCGCCACTCAAACATCCGCCATCCATTTTCCTCCGTCCCACGTGTCCTGTCCCCGTCCCGTCTCGTCCTGTATGCGCCTCAGACAGGGTGCAGCTCTCGCCATCGTATCAATGAATGGCCTTTTGCGTAAAAGGGTATTTGTGGCCTCTGCACCTCAGTTTCAGACCTGAAACGCCGCTAACAAGCCTCACCAAACTTCGCAGAAGCGCAGGCATGCCCTTTCAACGACTTGTAACTCCCACCGCTCTTTCGCCAGCTACGCACCGCAGGAAGGCCTCATGCTCTCTGTTCCCGGAACGCAATCCATTCACGGCTATGATGACATCATCAGTAGTACCGTAAGTCGGTTTTGTCGCGTATCGACCAATCCAGCACGCTGTTGGAGGCTCCGCCCACGGAGTGACGACAAACCTTTCCCCGCCCGGCGGCAGGTGGCAGCAGCTGTCGCACAGTCTTAAAAATGGCGTCAAGTCAGGATGCTTGGTATCTGTCGTTGCTGGGTTTGGCGGAGCATTTTAGAAGCATTAAGCCACCGGACATAAAATCGTGTGTGCAGTGTCTTCAAGCTGTGTTTAACTTCAATCCACCGCCTCGTGTAGAGGCCAGGACACATTTACAGCTCGGCAATATACTCCTAAGCCACACCAGGAATGCAGATCTCGCCAGAAAGCATCTCGAGAAAGCCGTAAGTAGTTTGTGGCTGCAAAGAAGAGGGGTTTTCAGCTCTATGAATTTTTGAAATTGGTGGAAGTTTTGTCTTATAAACTCAGCTTGTCCTGCCGAACTCCTGACCATAGCTGCCACTTTCACTTCGTTAGGCACTGCAATTTCCATAACTTTTGCATGGAATTTGTTGCCTTCTGCTACATACCACTCTTTTATGTTGTACTTTCTGCAGTTGTTGTGTATTTTACGCTGTTAAAGAACTTTATTAGTAAGTTTACCTAACTTCTGGTCTGTTATCATTTGCGAGGGCTGAAAATCATTGGCATCGGTGCTGGGGACAGGGTTTTGCCCGACCCTATGGGTTAGTTGACGGTACATTTTGGGCAGTATGTAAATGAAGTGTGCCAGTACTTTCAGGGCAAGTGTTTTATTGGCCGTTTAAGCTAATTTTATGCATGTTTGAAAATGTTGTCACGATTCGTAATGCCAAAACGCGTCGGGGATTTGAATTGTGGGTCAGATGTGGTGCCCCTGATACATTTGTGGTGGCACCAAGCTCCGTCGTAGTAGTTTGGGTAGACATTTCAACAATGCGGTGGGAATGCATTGCCTTTTGCTGCTAAGCTTTTAATGCTCATGTCCTAATGAATTTGTGAAAAAATGTATGGAGCATGCAGCCCCTGTTTAAAGTGATATGCACTCTGAAACATCTGCAGTTCAATGTCTTACTTATGATAATTTTCTGGAGCTAATTGTGGTGCCTATAAAGGGTTTTTTCAGTTATGCAATGTGTTTAATGTCTTATCATTTATATTAAATGCATATGAATGACATGTGTAGCCAATTTTTATTAAATGATACCTGTGATGGGCAGCATTCTAAGGTTAATTCAGTGTTGTAGGCATATCATTAGCCAATTTTTACTGCCGGAATACTAAAAATATATTGAATCTGTCTGGTCTGCAAAAAATGGTCCAATGTACTTGATGCTTACATGATGTTGTTGAGCTTAACCTGTAGCAAGTACCAACCTCAGGTGAGTCTAAATTGGGCCAAATTTTGAAATTATTTTCAGGAGTTTTGCCTGAATTACACTGAAGCTGCTGATGACCATGCACCAAATTCTGGGCTCCCAGATGTATGTTGTGAGTGCCCTGTAATTGTTGCTGCTATGCTAGACATTTTAGGCTCATGTCTGGTGTAGCAGGTTTTTCCAGTTGCAATACCTGTCACCCAAATGGCTGAATATTAAATTACTGGTGGTGGATGGTCAAGCATGTGTGCTCACGGGTAATGGTAGAGTAGTAGTTGAGCTGTAGTTAAGGAAACTAGAGGTACATGATTTGATTCCCCACAGTGCCTGCCCTTCCCGCCAGAGTGAGGGGCAGGTGATGCCACATAGCCTCAGCAGCTGAGTGTGTCATAACATCACCAATGACAGCAAGTAAGAGGGTTGAGCTCAATGACAGAGAGTCACAGGCTCAGTTCTTATCACAGGGATGTTGCACTGGGCATTTTTTGTGTCTGGGAGTCTGGTACTTATCACCAATAACCACAGAATCTGTGAATGATCCAAGGGACCAGCTATAGTCATGGGTAACCCACCAGTCACACACAGCTGATTTGTATGTTGTGCCAGTTTGCCAGTTATTAAAAATTATGTGGATTAAGAAGCATTTTATAATTTGATGGATTTGTGCAGACGGCAGCATTTTCCATGTATCCACATTGGTTATGACTAAGGCTGCAGGTGAAGTGAGTTTTGATATTCACAGATCAGGAATTTTGCAGTTGCATTGGCTTCGCTCAAATGATCCTGGCTAGCCGTGCCTTTAGCTAGCTCTTTTGTCATGGCCACTTAACAGACAACCATGAAGTCATAATGAGTATAAGGCATGGTTCTTTTGAAAGCTGTGCTGTAATATTTCCAAGGCACTTGCATTAACAAATTTAGGCTAATGTTTTTTCTGCAACATTACAATATCACTGCTGCTCACTGTTCTCATTTTTTGCAGTTGGTGCAGACTTAACCTATCCTGTGCAAGTTTTGGATCAGCTTGTTCTGTGTCATTTTTAGGCAGTGGAGTCATATCTTGGCAACTGGAGGAGATACAGACATAAATCAATCTGTGAAGTGGAGTAGAATGTAGGGTCTACAACAGCCTTCTTGAAGTGGGCCTGCGGCTTATATGTTTATAATGAGTGCTGAAAGCCCAGTTTGTTGTAATCAATGTCTGTCTGATATATTTGCAGTTACCAAATTATTAGATACAACCACTTAATAGCTTAAATTTTCAAAGTTTATGTCATTCAAGTAATCTTGCTAGTTGTTTTGTCTAAAGACAAGTAATATTCCAGTGTTTGCATTTTTAGATTGGTATTTACAGTTAGGGAGGGCACTTCTCAAAAGCCCACCAGCTCCATTCATGTACATTTTGGCACTGTCTATTATGACTCATTTGTGTCACACCACTTAAAGCATCTTACTGATGTGCTGCATATATGATGGATTAAGTAATAACATGCACTCCTGTAACCTGTTATATTCATGCCTACCAAAGAAAAGGCAATGCCTAACCTAACCTAACCTAACCTAACCTAACCTAACCTAACCTAACCTGACCTGACCTGACCTAACCTAACCTAACCTAACCTAACCTAACCTAACCCTAACCTAAATAAATTCGTGATGCACAACCATGTCAGTCTGATCTGTTTATAACTGGGGACACACTGTGTGCACATTGCAACTGTGCCACCTGTGGTGCCAGTGGGACCTGCCTCAGGACACCTTGACTTTATTGCCGGTAACACCAGTGGGGCCCCATCTCAGGCGATGTTGTGCTTCACATAGTGACTGTGTCGCCTGTGCTGCCAGTGGGTCCTGTCTCAGGGGACATTGTCCTTAACTCAGTGACTGTATTGCCTGTACCACCAGTGGGCCTCGTCTCAGGCGGTATGGTGGTTCACACAGGGACTGTATTGCCTGTACTGCCAGTAGGACCTGTCTCAGGTGATATCATGCTTCACATAGTGGCTGTCGCCTGTACTGCCAATGAGATCTGTCTCAGGCGATGTCATGCTTCACACAGTGACTGTGTTGTCTGTACTGCCAGTGGGACCTGTCTCAGGCGATGTCGTGGTTCACATAGTGACTGTCGCCTGTACCGCCAATGAGACCTGTCCCAGGCGATGTCGTGGTTCACATAGTGACTGTCGCCTGTACTGCCAATGAGATCTGTCTCAGGTGATGTCGTGCTTCACACAGTGACTGTGTTGTCTGTACTGCCAGTGGGACCTGTCTCAGGCGATATCGTGCTTCACATAGTGACTGTCGCCTATACCGCCAATGAGACCTGTCTCAGGCGATGTCGTGGTTCACATAGTGACTGCCGCCTGTACCGCCAATGAGACCTGTCTCAGGTGGTACCGTGCTTCACACAGTGACTGTGTTGTCTGCACTGCCGGTGGGACCTGTTTCAGGCGATGTGCTTCACACAGTGACTGTGTTGTCTGTACTGCCAGTGGGACCTGTGTCAAGCAGTATCGTGTTTTACACAGTGACTGTGTCATCTGTACCGCCAGTGGGACCTGTCTCAGGCGATATCGTGCTTCACATAGTGACTGTGTCGTCTGTGCCGCCAGTGGGACCTGTCTCAGGCGATGTCGTGCTCCACATAGTGATTGTCGCCTGTACCGCCAGTGGGACCTGTCTCAGGCGATATCGTGCTTTGCTCAGTGACTGTGTCGCCTGTGCCGCCAGTGGGACCTGTCTCAGGCGATATCGTGCTTCACATAGTGACTGTGTCGTCTGTGCCGCCAGTGGGACCTGTCTCAGGCAATATCGTGCTTCACATAGTGGCTGTGTCGTCTGTACCGCCAGTGGGACCTGTCTCAGGCGATATCGTGCTTCACATAGTGACTGTGTCGTCTGTACCGCCAGTGGGACCTGTCTCAGGCGATATCGTCCTTCGACGATGTCAAGTTCGAGTCGGCCAGCGTTCTGGCGCAGCTGTTCGAGCAGCAGCAGCAGCAGAAGTGGGCCAAAGAGACGCTACGACGTGCCATCGAGATTTCGCAGGGCAGCTGCTACTGGCACTGTCGCCTCCTCTTCCAGCTAGCGGTAGGTGCACGCAGTGAAGGCCAGTGGGCCTCAGCACCTCCCATATGCCGCACTAGAGATGCTGATAATGCTGCTGTCTAATAATCTCCGCGTTATGGACGTTTCTTTTTGGTGTATGCTTGAGATGCAGGCTGCTGTTCAGCCTTTCTTGCATTGAAACAGCTCGGCAGCCTGTTTCAGTCCTGCTCATTGCTCTGCTCTGTTGCAGTCCTGCTGTGTGCAATAACATGTCAAGCTGTGCCAAGTTCTTTTGATAGAGTGTCGTGCCGTGAACAGGCAAAGCGTTTGTATCGTTAGTGTGCGGTGCCGCAGATATCTGACGCTCGTTGTCGCCGATATCTGATGCTCGTTTTCGCCGATGTCTAATGCTCGTCGCTGATGTCTGACGCCCGTTGTCGTTGATGTCTGACGCTCGTTGTCGCCGATGTCTGACGCCCATCGCCGCCGGTGTCTGACGCTCGTTGTCGCCACCCGCCAGCAACTGCACGCCAAGGAGAAGGACTTCGTGTCGGCGTGTAGCCTGCTGGGCGTCGGCGTCGAGTTCACGCGTATCTCGGGCGCCGGCTATACCCAGATCCTCTTCCTGCTCAGCAAGGCCATGGTGAGTAGGAGACGGCGTCGCGGATGGTGTGCACTGCGTGCGCGCGCCTCATGCATGCGTGACACGTAGTCCCAGGTATGGTAACTGCAGGCACTGGTAGGCTGGTCCCAGATGGACCGGATTGGGAGTGAGGCGCTCTAACGGGGCGTGAGCCTTGGGTGGTGAAGTCAAGCAGGCATGGTTGTAGCGCTTCAACGACTCTTAGACGTCCGTCAATGGACCGAACAGTGTATCCGGTGCAGTGCCGCCCATGCGGGCGTTCGGTTGTGGAACCTCGCGCACGTGGTTAGTGATCCGGTTTTGCGTTGGCAGGGGGCGTGGATGTTGAGTAGTGCTGCCATCTCTCTGGGGACCATTCGTAGGGCTTTTGCGTGTATGTGTGTGGTTTGGTGTGGCCGTGGCGGTGGGCGTGGTCCATGCACAGTGCGTGCACGAGTGTGATCTCGAAATCGCAGAGACCTGCCTCAGTGCGTTGTGATTGGCGCAAGCAACCCTGAGGTGACGCGGTGCGAGCACGTGGTTTGCAACCGGTACAGGGTGCCTGCGGACTTCGACAGGGGTGTGAACTGATGTTAGGTGCGCACGACGTCAGCATCCTCCGCGACACTGCTTGGCCGAACGTCGGGCTTCGCACCGCCTGCTTTGTTCGCGGTGCCGTCCTGATCCCATTTGTCTTGCAGGGCCACATTTGTGTTGACATTGGTCTGGGCCGCAGGATGCTCGGTCTGTTAGATTGCGTGGTGCCCACGGTCCTCTGTTACATCTGATATTTCACGGATATTCTGTTGTTCGCCCCTGTCAGGCTGTAACCCGTCTGTGACGTCAATGTAGCGCCGGCGGTGCCGTGAAATTTCCCGCCTAAAGCCGGTGGCTTTCCTTAGAATACGTCGCTAATATTTTTATGCCGTGGTTTTCTCTTCACAGTGTTCACACTGTGTCCCGCTGATGGTATTTCTAGCGCCTGCTTAGTACGTTTCTGATAACTGACGTTGAAGTCACCGCCGGCCAGCCCGTGGTGCGGTTGACCAACCGGCGCTGGTTTCGTGCCACTGAACGCCCTTCTGCGATGTGGCTGACGACCAGCTCCTGTCTGGCTATATGGCTACTGTCTGCCTGTCCGGCCCGCGCTGTGGTTGGCGTATCGTCCCTGTCGTGACTAGGGCATCGTCCGTGTTAGGGGCCGACGTCCTCCCATCTCGCGGTTGACACATCGTCCGTGTTGTGGCTAACGCGTCGCTTGCTGGATGCAGCTGCTGCTGGCGGAGCGGAAGTTGAACGAGGCGGCACCGCTGCTGCAGCAGGGCGGCCCGATGGTGGAGGCCTGGCAGGGCAGCAACCAACAGAAGGAGTACCTCAAGGTGCGCACCGCCCCCACCAGCGCCGCGGTGTCGGCGGCTCTCGGTCGCAGGCGCACTGGTGCCGGACACAAACGCGCGTCTGTAGTAGTATCAGAGCCGGTTCGTGTGCGCCATATGCGGACACCAGACAGTTCCTTGTCTGCAGGATTCGAGTTAAGCGTAGTGTAAGGCTTTGTTAGCACTCGCGTAGTCAGTGTGCGGAGCCCTTGTGTGAAGAGCAGAGTGCGGAGCGAGGGTCGACGGCCGGCCGGTGTTGGTGTTGCGAGCCTCGCTGACCGCTCGCTCCGGCCCCGCCCCCTGATCTTGAGGTGTGACGGACCGGACCGGACCGGTAGCTCGTGCGGATGACCATCGCTCTGCCGTTGCGGGTCCCGGCCGGCCGGGCTCGCGCTCTGACCGGCCCGCCCGACCCGGTCCTGACGTCTCCGCCCGAGTTTGACTTCTCCGCTCGGCCCTGACGTCTCCTCCTGAGTCTGACGTTTCCGTCCGGGTCTGATGTCTCCGCCCGGCCCTGACGTCCCCGCCCGGGTCTGACTTCCCCGCCCGGCCCTGACGTCTCCGCCCGGGTCTGACGTCCCCGCCCGGCCCTGACGTCTCCGCCCGGGTCCGACGTCTCCGCCCGGGTCTGACGTCCCCGCCCGGGTCTGACTTCCCCTGCCCGGCCCTGACGTCTCCGCCCGAGTCTGACTTCCCCGCCCGGCCCTGACGTCTCCGCCCGGGTCTGACGTCCCTGCCCGGCCCTGACGTCTTCGCCCGGGTCTGACGTCCCTGCCCGGGTCTGAGGTCTCCGCCCTGGTCTGACGTCTCCGCCCGGGTCTGAGGTCTCCGCCCTGGTCTGACGTCTCCGCCCGGGTCCGACGTCTCCGCCCGGGTCTGACGTCCCCGCCCGGGTCTGACTTCCCCTGCCCGGCCCTGATGTCTCCACCCGGGTCTGACGTCTCCGCCCGGGTCCGACGTCTCCGTCCGGGTCTGACGTCCCGGCCCGGGTCTGACGTCCCTGCCCGGCCCTGACGTCTCCGCCCGGGTCTGACGTCCCTGCCCGGCCCTGACGTCTCCGCCCGGGTCTGACGTCCCTGCCCGGGTCTGAGGTCTCCGCCCTGGTCTGACGTCTCCGCCCGGGTCTGAGGTCTCCGCCCTGGTCTGACGTCTCCGCCCGGGTCTGACGTCCCGGCACGGCCCTGACGTCCCTGCCCGGCCCTGACGTCTCCGCCCGGGTCTGACGTCCCTGCCCGGGTCTGAGGTCTCCGCCCTGTTCTGATGTCTCCGCCCGGGTCTGAGGTCTCCGCCCTAATCTGACGTCTCCGCCCGGGTCTGAGGTCTCCGCCCTGGTCTGACGTCTCCGCCCGGGTCTGGCGTCCCCGCCCGGGTCTGACGTCTCCTCCCGGGTCTGACGTCTCCGCCCGGGTCTGACGTCTCCGCCCGGGTCTGAGGTCTCCGCCCTGGTCTGACGTCTCCGCCCGGGTCTGAGGTCTCCGCCCGGGTCTGACGTCCCCGCCCGGGTCTGACTTCCCCGCCCGGCCCTGACGTCCCCGCCCGGCCCTGACGTCTCCGTCCTGGTCTGACGTCTCCGCCCGGCCCTGACGTCTCCGCCCGGCCCTGACGTCTCCGCCCGGGTCTGACGTCCCTGCCCGGCTCTGACGTCTCCGCCCGGGTCTGACGTCTCCGCCCGGCCCGGCAGGTATTTTTCTTGGTGCTGCAGACCTGTTACTACCTATTGGCTGGCCAAGTCAAGTGCAGCAAGTCGTGGCTGAAGCAGCTGCAGCAGAGTGTGCAGGACATCTCGCAGTGGGCCGACGAGGGTGAGATTTCAGGTTATCGCAGTGGGCCGACGAGGGTAAGAGTTCAGGACATCCCGCAGTGGGCCGGCGAGGATGAGGGTTCAGGACATTTCGCAGTGGGCCGACAAGGATGAGAGTTCAGGTTATCTGGCAGTGGACCGACGAGGGTGAGAGTTCAGGATATCTCGCAGTGGGCCGGCGAGGATGAGAGTTCAAGACATCTCGCGGTGGGCCGACGAGGGTAAGAGTTCAGGACATCTCGCAGTGGGCCAGCGAGGATAAACGTTCAGGACATTTTGTATTGGAACACTGTGATATGAAATACAACTATGAATGCTCAGGTCCGCCTCGGTTGTGTTCGGTAATGAGAACTAGTCTGAATGTGTTTGAGTCTCCTGGGTGCCACCAACTGGGCTATTCATGCGAAATGTTCCACGTGTGTTCCTTAGAAAAAAATCAACGTCATCGGTGGCTTTCGCACGCACATCACCTTTTAGCCAGCCATCAACCGCACAGAACTGGCAAGGTACCCACTGTGTTCCCCCTGGATACGCCCCATTATTGTCTGCCCAGTAGCTAGCCACGGCACTGAATCTGTGTCCTGACCCGTCAGCACGCCCTAGGCTCGTGGGGACACAACCGCTGCACACCGCAGCCCGTCTGATCCAGCCCGCTGTTGGACCGTTGCACTATCGCCCCTTGCGTCCTTGGCGCCCGCTCCCTGTGGTATGTGTGGCTGTATATGTGTGTGTGTGTGTGTGTGTTTATGGCGGGCTGTGGGCAGTCGCCGGCGGGTGTAGATAGCTGAGCGCGGCCTTCTCTGTTCACAGACAGCGCGCCACCCTCGGCAAGCACGGGCGACATGTTCATGTGGATGCCGAGGGAGGAGCTCTGCGTGGTGGTGTACCTGGTGACGGTCATGCACTCGATGCAGGCGGGCTACATGGACAAGGCGCAGAAGTACTCGGACAAAGCGCTCACGCAGATCAACCGGCTGAACGGTGAGGCCACGACCTCACCCCCTTCCCCCTACGCCTGCTGGACTTGGGCCGGTAGCTCCGGCGGGACGGCCGAGCATGGCGTCGATTGGAGGAGTCGAGGGCGGTGGGGGTTCCGGCCAGGGGCAAGTTTTGGCACCTGGTGGTGACTGACAGTAAAGCTATCAGATGTGCGAGCCATGCTATGTGAGATGCGCCTGTCGCGGCAGCGCTTGAAGCGGGTGGCCGCCTACAAAGTACAGCTTGGCGTGGCGCTCGCTAGATGTCGCCGCTAAGGTGCTCGTTCCACCGGCAGCGACGGCGGACCGGCCGATCCTGCACACGTTCCAGCTGATGATCTTGGAGCACATTGTGCAGTGCCGTCTGGTGATGGGTGACAACGCTGGTGCCATCCAGGAGATCGCCAGCCTGTGTCACATCTGCCGTCAGCGGCCGTCGCTGCTCACCGGCCACAGGTGAGCCGGCGACCGGGCGCTCTGGGCCGCTAGGCGGGCCAGGCCGACTGCGGGCCGGGCTGGCGCGGTGGTCTGGTGCGTGGAAAGACGGCGTTCGTACTGCCGGGAGGTTGTTGTTTTTGCAAAAGTGTGCTCAAGTCGTGGGCAGTTCAGGGTCTGCTTCCATTCATGTCACGCTGACATCGACGGGCTTTGCGCTCTTTAACCACCACCTTGACCTGGGGGGGGGGGGGGGTCATGCTGACAAATGACCGTCGTGCGTCCCCCCCCTGCGACATGGCCCGCCGCTCGTCGTACACTGCCAACGTCGCTCTGCGGGACGATTGGCTCAGCTGAGCGCGTGCGTGACGTGACGGCGTCACCTGTGTGTGGCAGGGCGCAGATCCACACGGTGCTGGGCCTGTACGCCATGAGCATGAACTGCATGGAGCCGGCCGAAGCCCAGCTGAACGCCGCTCTCCGGGTGAGTGACGACACGACGGCCGCGGACGAGCCCGTCGGGACCCGGCACACGTCCCTGCGCCCGTCCCTCCTTACGTCCCCCTCTGTGCTTCCCTCCGTCCCCTTTCTGCACCGCCGTTCGTCCCTCCAGCCGTCATTCCGTCCCTCCCTCTGTTCTTCCCTCGGTCTGCCCTTCGTTCCTCCGTTCTTTTCTCAGCGCGGTTCCTCCCTCCACCCCACCCCCGTCCCTTCGCCCGTCCGCCGTCCCTCTTCGTGCACGTGCGGTTCGGTGTCTCCCCACCTCGGCCCCGTACCGACTCGGAGGCAGTGCCCGTCTGATTTCCGGCATACGGGTGTCTGCAAAGCAGCGCAGTCTCGCGCTGCGTTCGCCGCCTCCAAAATTGCCGAGCGATCGGTTGGTAAGCAGTTTTGGTGCGGTGGATGGCGGGGAGGTGAGGGTTGTGCTGCAAAGGCTGTCCCGGGGCATTCCGTTGGTGGTTGTTTTGTGTGATGGCTATCGCCCTGCAGCATTGGCCTGTTTTCAGGGAGGGTAGCACAATGAATGGACGCGGATTTCCCGTGGTCTGTTGTTAACGCTTCACTGTGCGGCCTGTGGCGGTTTCCGTCTTTTGGTGGGCGTGTGCTGCCGACAGCGTTCCTGCAGGCGAAACTGCGCCGTATGATTTACGTAATGGAAAGTACCAACTTAACTGCGTACTGCACATGTTAACCCTCGCGCCATCTTCGATGTCACTGAGTTTAGGTTTCATGTGATCATTTAGCTTCCATGCGTAAGCTGTGTAAGCATATGTAAGTCGTTTGCTCCAGCTTTGTCTAGGCGACTAGTGCTCATAAGATATTCGTCTTAAATTTTCAAGTGTTTTTATCTCCTAAGAGCTCGATGAGGCTGGTCCAACACGGATCTTCCGGCTAATCAGCCCAGGTGTCGTCTTTTTACGAGTTTCAGACTAGGCGGGCCTGTTCCTCTCGTAAAGTTTGGATTGATCCGACAGCTGCCAGCCTCAGCATGGATGAAAAATGAACGTCGGCTTGTCCTCCCGATGGCCGTCGGTCCCCATCTTGCCCATACGGGACCGCTGTGCAGCCACCCTCCCGGACGGCACCGGGGGTGACGTCAGTACCCCAGCGTAGGACAGCAGCGGGCGCTTGGTGGCCGTCCCTCAGCAGTCTCCGCCAGCGCCGGCTGGCCCGCCCGGCGAGCGGCTGCCAGCGGGCGCCCGCCAAGCCGCGCTTCGGGACCGGGACCAGGCCCGTCCAGAGGCGGCCGGCCCGCCCGCTCCGTACCGCTGCACACTCGCCGACGACAGGCCCGGCCAGCCCTTCAACTGAGGCGTCATGTCCACCTGCCAGGCCGGCCTTGTTTGCGGCGTGTTGTGTCACGGTTCTCGGGAGCGCTGTCGCCCCGCGAGCGGATGAAGCCGGCCGGACGGGTCGGCGGCGCTGGTGGTCTCACTGCGGCGCTCGCCGTGCTGGGCGACGCGCCCGCGCCGCTGCCGGACGGGCGGGCACGGGCGGGCACGGGCGGCTGGTCGGCGCGCCCACCGTCCCGGCGCGCCTCGGAAACTCCTCCGCTGCCTGCGAGAGTTGCGACCAGCGCGCCCGCTCAGCCGGCCGCAGGGGCTCTAGGCGGATCTGGGGGCGTTCCCACTTGACTTTTCCATCCCCTTCACCCCCCCTCAGCCCCCCCCCCCTCCCCGCCCCGCCGATGCTGGGAGGCTTTGTCGGGTAGGGTGTAACTTATGCTGCCAAACGGGACGAATTGACGAGCGGATCGTGAAAGGGGCGGCATGGACATTCGCCGTCTCCGGGCCAGGGTCGAAATGTTTTATTTCTCTCAAGGTTCTCACACCTTTAGAAAGTTGCTTTTTAGCATTGTAGTGGATGGCATGTTTTGGTCGGGGTTTCCAAAGTTCAAACCAATGCAAAAGGTATCATAAATGTACTACAAACTTGTATGATTTTCATTTTTATGATCCTTTTATTGTTCGGGGTAAAGGTCACCCACCACCTGTGCGCTGTCGGCAACGGAATCTTTCTACCCGTTATTCCTGAGTCAGGCATGGCTCAAGAATAACGGGTAGATGGATTCCGCTGTTGAAAGCCCCCGCTGGTGACGCGGACAGTGGACACCTGCAATTCACTGATGTAGTCTACCTGATCCCGTTAAATTTAACGACCCTTTATGGTACGTGAAGTGTGTGAGTGAGCTGTCGCCAGCGAAAGTCTACCCGTTAATCCTGAGCCAGACAACGTTGACGGAGCAATTTTGTGTGTGGGCTCCGCGAAGCCACAATTTTTCCTCCGAAGGTCCGTGTGGTTTGGATTTTTTCTTTGAGCCATTTTCACGGCTGGCTTCGTCTTGACTCCATCATTTTAAACGGTTGACTTCGGCTTTGGCTTCTGCTTTACCATCGTTAACGGACGGCTCTGACGTCGGCTTCAAACACATCGCATTATCGACCCGGCTTAGGCTGCAGCCAAAACGACCTGGCGGTTATTCTCAGGACCTTTAAGTTGCCGCGGAACCAAGGTCTGGAAAATTATCAACCACCCTGTAAAAGCATGATAGTGTTCGGGGGTCCCATACAGTATTAGCGGACGCGAGAATGGTCTCCTTCTCAGAACAGCGGTGTACGCTAGATTCGGCTGCAGCTTCGTTCTCATGATTTTAAACTCACGGTTAAGGCCTTGACTCGCGTTTACGACACTGTTCGAAGCTTGAGCTCGAAGCCGCTGATTTTGTTTTCATCTTTGCGTGCATAAGGTTCCGGCTTCGCGGCATAAGGTTCCGGCTTCGCGGCATAAGGTTCGGGCTTCTCGGGATAGGGTTCTGGCTTCGTGTGCGGAAGGTTCCGGCTTCGCGGCATTGAGTTCGAAAACACCGGCCTCGGAATGGGCTTTATATAAAAACGAGTAAGTTTACTTTAGCCTCGGCTCCACAGTTTCAGGCTTGAAAACCGCGGCTTCGACTTCGGCTTCACGTCATTGTCTCGCCTGGGATTCGGCTTCGAAGTTGGAAGTCTGGCTTCGTCCTGATCCCTGTTCTGAACATTAGAGTAATATTTCTAAGTCATGTTTCCAGTTTGGTAGAGCTTTGGATATTTGCATTGATATGCGAAGAGAACTCGGGACTGATTTCTAGTTTTGGAATGGGCTGCGCACGAATGGAAATGGAACGCACGAAATGGAAAAGGCTGGCATATGTATTGGTGTCACAGGATACGAGGCTGGTTTGCTGATGTCCGCGGTTGGTTACGATCGGCTGACGCAGTCAGGAACCTGGTTTGTGTTCAATATCATTTGCAGTTCAGAGAATGAAACTCAACAAATAAAGGCATCAAATTTTGGCGGATGTTATATATATATATATATATATATATATATATATATATATATATACATATATCTAAAAAATGTGTGTGATATTGGCATATGTCATTATCAGTGTTGTATTTGTTCTCAGCAGCCTTGTATCTTCAAACTGAAATTCTCGTGCGCGGGGCTGGAGGACTAGCGTGGGAACGTCTTCAGAGAACTGGAAGTGAGGATGGAGAACCTCGGTGGAAACGGGTGTAGGGGTGGACATGACACCTCGGTGCGAGCGAGTGCTGTCCGCCGTTGGGCTGAACAGCGTCGGTCCACGCTGGCGTGCGGGCGAACCCTGGCAGACCCGGCGGGCCCGGCGCGGTAGTCCCCCCGCCTCTGCGACGGGCGGCGGGGCGTCGTGGCTGCCGTCGGGTCTGCCGCAGTAGCCGTCCTCCCGCCTCTGCGACGGTCGGCGAGGCGTCGTGGCCGCTGTCGGTCTGGCGCAATAGTCTTCCTGCCTCCGCGACGTTCGGCCAGGCGTCGTGGCCGCTGTCGGGTTTGGCGCAGTAGCCTTCCTCCCGCCTCTGCGACGGGCGGCGAGGCGTCGTGGCCGCTGTCGGGTCTGGCGCAGTAGCCTTCCTCTCGCCTCTGCGTCGGTCGGCGAGGCGTCGCGGCTGCTGTCGGGTCTGGCGCAATAGCCTTCCTTTCGCTCTGCGACGGGCGGCGAGGCGTCGCGGCCGCTGTCGGGTCTGGCGCAGTAGCCTTCCTCCCGCCTGCGACGGTCGGCGAGCGCGGCTGCTGTCGGGTCTGGCGCAGTAGCCTTCCTCCCGCCTCTGCGACGGTCGGCGAGGCGTCGCGGCTGCTGTCGGGTCTGGCGCAATAGCCTTCCTTTCGCCTCTGCGACGGGCGGCGAGGCGTCGCGGCCGCTGTCGGGTCTGGCGCAGAGTAACCGTCCTCCCGCCTCTGCGACGGGCAGCGGGGCGTCGTGGCCGCGGTCGGGTCCGGCCTTATCCGTCAGGTGTACCGCTCTAAAGGGCACAGTTCGCGCCGCAATGGACGCCCACGTCGCGTCCGTTTCACGGCGCGGTTTTTCTGATGCCTTCAAAGCGGATCTCGACGATCACAACGCGTCAAAACGGATCTCAGCGATCGCTTGGGCTCAGTAGCCTTTAGTCATTGGCTCGGACCTGCAACTTTTGCTAGGAAGGGCATTGTTGCGTCGTGATCCGATGGTGGCGTGATAATGACGAACTTGACGGCGGCGCCAGTGATGAGCCCGACTTCTGGTGGATCACGCGGTGTCCACCCCACTTCCGACTGGCGGCGCGCATTTTGAGTTAATTCCGGTTCCGAGTCAAGGATATAAGCCCATTTCGGAGTCTCGATTCCGATGGAGTCCACTATGGTAACAGCACGTAATACAAGTCAGAAAAGTACAAATATCATGGGAAGAATATTGTGATGCGCTCAGTGCTGCGTGTGGTCTACGTAAAGAACTCGGAGGAAGAATTTTTTAGCTACATTTCTACTCCAATGGTTCCAGCGCATGACCGGGATTACTTGAAATCTGGAATGTTTTACAAGTCTCATAGTGTCAACGCAAATTAAGATATTATTATAAGTCGTTGCCAATCGTTGTACAGAAACTGATAAGCACAGAGTAAAGCGCAATGAATCCTTTGGCTATTGTGGATATCAGGACCCAAGATGGTCGTGCTGACCAAACAGCAAACTGATGAGATGACAAGCTGTTGAATGAGTTTATGCCAGAACACAGTTAACGGAAAAAAACAAGAATCGATAATCCGAAGCCATTTGCAAGAAACCTCTTCGGGCCGTTTGGGCTGCATATACGTGTGTGTGTGTGTATGCATTATAATATATATTTATTATATCAGTCAAAAATATTAAAGTAACAAATAACCTACAAATGAAGTAAAGTGCACGAGGGACATGGAGAAGAAGGTGGTAGAAGGCGCAAGCGATAGAGTGGCGGTATCCCAACGGCTTCGTGCAAGGAGAGGTCGATATATTTTATCACTCATCCACGAATTACTCCTGGGGCAGCACCGGAGATGCAAAGGAACGAAGGGCCCGACAACTGGGAGTTAAGATTAATCTAGTAAAAGAAGCATTCGCCGTTTTTGCAGGGGCACGTTGTCTGTCGCAGGTGCAGTAGATGCCATCATAGACGACAAAGCACGCTTAAGCTACCGTGGAAGTGATATGCCCTGCACTGTTATTTTTGCGCTGGTTTTGGCGTTCACACCCCAAAGCATGTCAACTTGAAGCCCCAGAGAAAAATCCTAAGGAGTGTGGATAATCTTCAGT